TATGAATTACACTCCAATGTAAAGAAAACAAAAATCCTCACAACTATAGACAATCCTCACATCTATAGACAATATCATGATAAATGGAGAAAAGACGGAAGTTGCGAAGGATTTCACTTCATGGGGTCCATCATCAATGTCCATGACAGCCACAGTCAAGAACTCAAAGGGCCTCTTGCATTGGGCAAATCTGTGGCACAGGACCTCTATAAAGGGTCAAAGGGCAAAGATGCCCCTTTGAGGACTAAGATGAGCCTGATGGTACCTTCAAGCCATGGGATCCTAAATGGCCTCATCTGCCTGTGAAATCCAGACACTGAATGAGGAAGACCGCAGACGAAGTGATGCCTTTGAATGACGGCGTTGGCAAAGAATATGAAGGGACCGGGGGAGAAGTACAGCCAGAATGCTTCTCGGAGCTTGTTGAGACTTCCTTTCATATCACACTTTAGACATATGATCGGGGGTCAACACCCTATAGGACAGCGTGCTTGACAAAGGGTCGGTGAAACAGCAGATTCTCAACGTGTGAATTGACACAGTGGCTGCAACAACAGTATGATGGCACAGGACTGGGCGGGGTTTCCTTCTTTAGTACAGTGAACCCTCGTTTATCGCGGTTAATCGGTTCTAGACCCTACCGTGATAAATGAAATTCCGCGAAGTAGGATTCCTTATTTGTAAATCAAATATTTTCCTAGTTAGAGCATAGAGGACATGAAAAAACACCCTTTAGTCACCATTACACTCGTATTACCCAATTTATTAAATGAAAAAGGGAAAATACAGTAAAACATTTTGGACGTTACAATTATCATTTATTATTTATTATATTATTTATGGCATCTAGTTTACAGTATTACATATTTCACATACAGTATTATTATACATAGTTCTTACAAATACTGTAATCAATAGCCTATGAAATGACTTAAGGGAAGTACTCTGCAGGTGGGTCGCCGTCTTTTTCCTCTGAAGGAGCGGGTGTAGGCAGTGGGTGCTGTTACCCCAAAACCGCGATAGAGTGAAGCCGCGGAAGTCAAAGCGCAAAGTGGTGAGGGTTCACTGTACATTGGTTCTCTATTAGTGGGATCCAACTCTATATAACACCTAAGAACAACATATTTTGGATTTAGCTACATAACTGTGAGAACGTTTTGGGTCCGTATTGAGTATCCGCTCAATTTCCTCCTAAACTAGATTGATGTATTCAACTAAATATATTAGCACTACTGTAATTGCTGGGCGTCAGTGGTTAATGGTGGGTTTCGACAGTCAGAAAAACAGTCACCGCCTGCCCAAGGAACGAAGAGCCTTTTGCAGAAGATCCTGAGCAAATATGCGGGGTCCTATGAACATTGAGTCCACATGCAGGATGAAAAAAAAAAAAACAGAGGAGGAGGGGTGCATACAAATATAGAAGCAGTTTAGGGAAACCAACCTTGGGGCTATCACAGTCCACATGATATCAAAGGAGACCCTATCTTCAAGGTTCCTCTGGCCTCCTGAAAAGAACTTTTTTACCTGCTGAATTTCCTGATAAAATGTTGTCAAATTGCCTCAAAAATACTAAGAGCAATTATTATTATATTTTCATTCCTTGTCCCATGATCACCATATTGGAAAAATGCAAACATGTCTGCAAGTTTGCAGGCCAGTGCACTCACACTTTAGTATGATTTTTTTTTTTAAATTGCTTTATTGGGAGAAGTAGACTCTTACCCCAATCCATACATTCATCCGCTGTGTCAAGCACATTTGTACATTTGTTGCCATCCTCATTCTCAAAACACTTGCTTTCTACTTGTGTATGAATGATCAGATTGTTTTCTCTCTGATTTTCGGGTGGCTCACACTAGGAGGTTGAAGTGCATCTGCAGATTGCCCTAGGATATCATGAGATGGGAGGCTAGTCAAAGCCATTTATCTTGAAATGTGGTCTAAGGTGGGTTCCATACTTTGAAAAAGGGAAAGATTCTCCCTTTCTTAACTTCTCCCTTCTGTAGCAACCCCAGGACTCAGGCTCATACGGTTGGGAAAATGGAGAAACTATGGAGAGGACAGGATGCCTGGTGGCACTGTTGGGTAAGTGTCAGACTGATAAACACAATGTGGGCGGTTCAAACTCAGCACTTCCATAAAGATTTACATCGTGGGTGTGTTAGGCTTTGTGTCGACTTGACTGGGCTAGGATTCTTAGTGGTTTGGCAGTTAAGACCTAATAATCTGCCATGATATGACCCAACCAACGTCACCAACTCTATAATGAGATCTGCTCTGTGCAGCTAAGCAGTTAGTAGAGTAAAATCTTCTTTCTCAGCTCACAGCCCTGATGTAACTGGAAGGAAGTTTCTTCTGGGGTGTGGCTTGCTTCCTACAAAAGGACATGCTGGGAAAGCTGGCTTTTTGCTGGGTCTGGATCTTGCATCTGGTCGGTTGACTTCTGATTCTTTGGATGTGAGCCAATCGCTTGCCATATTATCTGCTGATCCAGGAGCTATCAGTGGCCTGGCATCTGACCTTGGATTCATCCGTCTCTGCGGCTTGTGGTGTTCCTGCCAATCCTGGTTGCATCAGTCCTTAGAGAAACCTCCAGTTTAACATCTGACGCACGGACTTGAGACTGGATTGAACTTCTATCACGCACTTGTTTAACTGTGGTAGCCATTTTCTTGATATAACGTTCTCTTCCTCTCCCTGAAAAACCTCAAACTCACCGCCATCGAATCAATACTGACTCAGTGACCCAATAGAGTTTCCAACACTATTTAACTTTGCGGGAATAGAAAGGCCCATCTTTTTCCCTTGGAGAGGCTGGTGATTTTGAACTGATGACCTTTTAGATTGGAGGCCAAAGCATAACCACTATGCCACCAGGGCACCTGCCCCCCCCCTCCTCCCCGGTTTTGCTTCCCAAAAGAAGCAGGTCTAACACATTTGGAAACCACATTTTGAGTTGCTGTGAGAATTGACTTGATGGCAATGGGTTTGGGTACAGAGGATGTGTTACAAAACAGTGTGTGTGTGTTTTTTTGGGGGGCAGTCTACAAATGCACTGTTGTTCCTACTACACCACGTATTGTTTTTTTTAAAAATTGAACCAACATTAAAATGTTTTTTTGGAGTGGGCGATGGCAGGAAATTAGATGATTTGGTATCATTAGACTGTTATTTTCAAATGGCTGGAGCTGAGTGGTAATCACTTCCTTTAGAAGCACTGGTACTTGCAGTTCGCCATAGTCCCCACCATACATGCTATCTCCAACACTGAGAGTTAAGCTGTTTGAAGTATTCATAGACCAAAATGATGACTGGGAACATCAGGATTCTTCACTCACTTAAAGGACCTTTTGGATCCATGTGACATTTGTGGGTCTGTGACCTCCCTCTGGCTCAGAAGTCAAGTCCCAGGCTTTGAATTAAACTTGAGTCTGAATACGAATTCTCTCTCTGGCTCAGAAGTCAAGTCCCAGGTTTCGAATTAAACTTGGGTCTGAATAAGAATTCCACCAATTCTTAGTTCTGTAGCCTTAGGGAATTACTTCTCTAGGACAAAGCTCCCTTTTCTAATTTGCTAAGTAGGGACACGATCCACATCAAGTCAAAGAGGTTGAATGAAAGATTATCTTCTGAAACATAACAGCTACCGGCAGCATAAGGGTGAGTTGCCGGAGGGCAGGCAGAAGCCCTGTGAGTTTCATTCTTTGCATCCCCAGCGCTTCCCACTCTGCCTGGGACACAGCAGGTGCTCAGTAACCAAGTGTTGAATGAATGCTGAACTCAGCGAAGCTTGGCAGTCTAGTTGGACAGGAAGATGATTCTGATATCGTCTTGCTGGGACCCCACGGTGGCTCTGGTACCCTGTGTGGCTCTTCAAAGACCACCATGGGCCATGCTAGCCTGGGTGATGGGGGTCAGGCTTGGTGATGGGGGTCAGGCTTGGTGATTGGGTCAGGCTTGGTGATGGGGTCAGGCGTGGTGATGAGTTCAGGCTTGGTAATGAGATCAGGCTTGGTGCTGGGGTCAGGTTTGGTACCGGCAGGTGGTCCCTCGGGAGCCGGGCGAAGCCAGTTGTCTCCAGTCAGGCCCATGCCCACCGTGTCTCTTCCACGGCCTCGTAAGAGGGGGCATCTTGCGACCACCGTCTTCGTCAGCAGGTCAGACCGAGCACGGTGAGCCGGCGCGCTCCTCGCCCCCGGGACCGTGAGCACATCAGCCATGGCCCCGCTCGGCCTTCACGCGGCGAGGCAGCGCGTGGAGGAGGCTGCCCGTTCCCACAACCAACATGGCGGGCGCGGCGGCTTCAGCGCCGGGCGGGCGGCGCCGGGCGGCGG